GTGGGGGGGGGGGGATCCCCACTGCCTCATGTTGCCCCACATCATATGGGGGGCTCTGCCATTAGTCCCTAGAAGCCCCAAGGCCACTGCAGCAGCCAGTGAGTCCGGGGAGGGGATTGTTTCTTTTTTTAAAGAGCCAAGAGCTGGGGCAAGCAGGGCAGCCATGGGGGCCGGGGCTGGGAGAGTGGGCAGGGGTTGCGGAGCTCGTGGCAGAGCCCCTCACACAGCATCGGGAAGTGGGGGGCAGCAGGGATCACCCCCCTGCCTGGCAGCAGCTGGTGAGTGGGGGCCCTTTTTTAAAGAGCTGGGAGCTGGAGCAGGTGGGGCAGCCATTGGAGGGGGGCTGCAAGAGTGGGAGGGTGTTGGGGGGTGCTCAGGGGAGCTGGAGAAGGAGGCAGGGGATGGGGAATGGTGGGGATCCCCCCATGGTCCCCTCCCTCTTCCTCCAGACCCCTCCTCCCCCTTTCCCTACTTATCAGCATTGAGTCCAGGTCCAGCTCCCTGAAGTAGCAAACGGGGACTGCCCGAATCGCCGAAGCTCTCTGAATCTTTTCTGAATCAATTTGGAGAGCTTTGAATTGATTTGGACCTTTTAACTGGTTCCCTGATTCGATTCAGATTTGGAAATTCAGCCACCAAATTAGGCCGAATTTCCTCTGAATCAAATCAGCACCTGAAGCTTCACACAGCCCTACTCATTTCCATTCAGTTTTAATCAGAAGGTATGTGTTAGGCCTGCGCAAATAGGGAAGTATTTGATTCAGATTCAGAATTGGCTCATTCAGAGGACAGTGATTCGATTTGGAGATTTGGCTCACTGTCCTGAATCGATTCAGCCAAATCACCTTCAGAAGATTTGGCACTGATTCAGAGAGATTTGGATCAGCCGGGGAGAGGCAGGCACAGCCGGGTGGCTTCAGGTTCTCCCGGGGCTCCTCCAACTGTGCCTGCCTCTCCCCAGGCATGGGGAGCTGCAGGAGAAGCTCCCATGGCTGCCCTGCCCGACCCAATCCTCTGCCCAGCCCCAGCCTAGTCCCAGCACTTAAAAAAAAAAAAAAAAAAAAGGCCCCGCACTCACCGGCTCCCTGAACATTCTCCTAGTTCCTGGTTCAATTCCCCAGCTCCCTGATCACTTCTGTCAGCTTTTCCTAAGGGGCGCAGGCCCAGGGATGATGCAAGATGACAGCAGCTCTGAACTATTTCCCCAGGTGGCAGCAGGTGATCCAGAGGCTGTGTCCCCTGGGAAGAGCTGGGGAATCAAACCAGGAGCTCCAGCTGACAGGTGGAGCTGCCCCAGCTCCTAGACAGGCACAGCACCCTGCCAAACCACACTGCACCTATGCCATGGGGCAGCTGTCATACAGGTGCCAGGCAGGGGAGGTGATCCCTGCTGTCCCCCACTGCTCCATGCTGCATGGGGGGGCTCTGCGATAAGCATGCAGAGGCCCCAATCGCTGCTCCTGTAGCCAGTGTGTGCAGGGCATTTTTTTTTTTTTTTTTTTTTTAGGTGCCAGTAACCTGGGCCAGGTGGGGGATGGGGCCGGGCAGGGCAGCCACGGGGGCTTCTTCTGTGGCTCCCCTGGCTGTACCTGCCTCTGTCCCAGTGGGGGAGCCACAGGGGCTCTGCCCTATTGCCACTTGCCCAGCCGGGGGTGTGGGGCATGATGCAGGCGTGGCTTGCTCCGGGCAGCAGCAGCACATAGCCCCCACTCCCAGCACTACTGCACCTGCATCAGCATTAGGAGCAGGGGCTCTTCCCTGCCACTGCTTGCTCCCTTCTGCCTGGAGCGAGACTCACCCACATCCCACTCCCCTCGCTGCCCCAGCTGGGCATGCAACCCCCCCACTCCCAGCACTGCTGCACCTGCATCCTGCGCCCTGCCGCCCCCCATCCCAAGTAAGGCACCCCCTCCCCCCCAGCTGAGCAGTTTGTCCCAGCCCCAATCCCTCCCTCCCCCACTCCCCTTCCCTTCCTCCTCCCCCA